TGGGGGTTGGGGTGGGGGTTGGGTGGGGGTTGGGGTGGGGGTTGGGGTGGGGGTTGGGGTGGGGGTTGGGGTGGGGGTTGGGTGGGGGTGGGTGGGGGTTGGGTGGGGTTGGGTGGGGGTTGGGTGGGGGTTGGGGGGGGGTGGGGTGGGGGTTGGGGTGGGGGTTGGGGTGGGGGTGGGGTGGGGGTTGGGGTGGGGGTTGGGGTGGGGGTTGGGGTGGGGGTTGGGTGGGGGTGGGGTGGGGTGGGGTGGGGGTTGGGGTGGGGGTTGGGGTGGGGGTGGGGGGTGGGGGTTGGGTGGGGGTTGGGTGGGGTGTTGGGTGGGGGTTGGGGTGGGGGTGGGGTTGGGGGGGGGGGTGGGGTGGGGGTTGGGTGGGGGTGGGTGGGGGTTGGAGTGGGGGTTGGCGTGGGGGTTGGGTGGGGGTTGGGCGTGGGGGTTGGGGTGGGGGTTGGGCTGGTGGGGGTTGGGCGTGGGGGTTGGGGTGGGGGTTGGGGTGGGGGTTGGATCGTGGGGTTGGGGGGGGTTGGGGTGGGGGTTGGAGGTGGGGGTTGGCGTGGGGGTTGGCGTGGGGGTGGGGTGGGGGTTGCGGGTGGGGGTGGCGTGGGGGTTGGGGTGGGGGTTGGGGTGGGGTTTGGCGTGGGGGTTTGGCGTGGGGGTGTGGGGTGGGGTTTGGGGTGGGGGTTGGCGGGGGGTTGGGGGTGGGGTTGGGTGGGGGTTGGGGTGGGGGTTGGGGTGGGGGTTGGGGTGGGGGTTGGGTGGGTGGGGTTGGCGTGGTGGGGGTTGGGGGGGGGTTGGGGTGGGGGTTGGAGTGGGGGTTGGCGTGGGGGGGTTGGGGTGGGGGTTGGGGTGGGGGTTGGGGTGGGGGTTGGGTGGGGGTTGGAGTGGGGGTTGGAGTGGGGTTGGCGGTGGGGGTTGGCGTGGGGGTTGGCGTGGGGGTTGGGGTGGGGGTGGGGTGGGGGTTGGCGTGGGGGGTTGGCGTGGGGGTTGGGGTGGGGGTTGGGGTGGGGGTTGGCGTGGGGGTTGGGGTGGGGGTTGGCGTGGGGTTGGGGTGGGGGTTGGGGTGGGGGTTGGGGTGGGGGTTGGCGTGGGGGTTGGCGTGGGGGTTGGGGTGGGGGTTGGGGTGGGGGTTGGGGTGTGGGGGTTGGCGTGGGGGTTGGGGTGGGGGTTGGCGTGGGGGTTGGCGTGGGGTTGGGGTGGGGGTTGGCGTGGGGGTTGGGGTGGGGGTTGGGGTGGGGGTGGGGTGGGGGTTGGGGTGGGGGTTGGCGTGGGGGTTGGGGTGGGGGTGGGGTGGGGTGGGGTTGGCGTGGGGGTTGGCGTGGGGGTTGGGGTGGGGGTTGGGGTGGGGGGTTGGGGTGGGGGTTGGGGTGGGGGTTGGCGTGGGGGTTGGGGTGGGGGTTGGGGTGGGGGTTGGCGTGAGGGTTGGCGTGGGGGTTGGGGGTTGGCGTGGGGGTTGGCGTGGGGGTTGGGGTGGAGGTTGGCGTGGGGGTTGGGGTGGGGGTTGGCGTGGGGTTTGGCGTGGGGGTTGGCGTGGGGGTTGGGGTGGGGGTTGGGGTGGGGGTTGGGGTGGAGGTTGGGGTGGGGGTTGGGGTGGGGTTTGGCGTGGGGGTTGGCGTGGGGGTTGGGTGGGGGTTGGGGTGGGGGTGGCGTGGGGGTTGGGGTGGGGGTTGGGGTGGGGGTTTGGCGTGGGGTTGGCGTGGGGGTTGGGGTGGGGGTTGGCGTGGGGGTTGGCGTGGGGGTTGGGGTGGGAGTTGGGGTTGGGGTTGGGGTGGGGGTTGGGGTGGGGGTTGGCGTGGGGGTTGGGGTGGGGGTTGGGGTGGGGGTTGGCGTGGGGGTTGGCGTGGGGTTGGGGTGGGGTTGGGGTGGGGGTTGGCGTGGGGTTTGGCGTGGGGGTTGGCGTGGGGGTTGGGGTGGGGGGTTGGCGTGGGGGTTGGCGTGGGGGGTTGGGGGTTGGGGTGGTGGGGTTGGGGTGGGGGTTGGCGTGGGGGTTGGGGTGGGGGTTGGCGGGGGTTTTGGCGTGGGGGTTGGCGTGGGGGTTGGGGTGGGGGTTGGGGTGAGGGTTGGGGTGGGGGTTGGGGTGGGGGTTGGGGTGGGGGTTTGGCGTGGGGGTTGGGGTGGGGGTTGGGGTGGGGGTTGGGGTGGGGGTTGGGGTGGGGGTTGGCGTGGGGGTTGGGGTGGGGGTTGGGGTGGGGGTTGGCGTGGGGGTTGGGGTGGGGGTTGGGGTGGGGGTTGGGGTGGGGGTTGGCGTGGGGGTTGGGTGGGGGTTGGGGTGGGGGTTGGCGTGGGGGTTGGCGTGGGGGTTGGGGTGGGGGTTGGCGTGGGGTTTGGCGTGGGGGTTGGCGTGGGGGTTGGCGTGGGGGTTGGGGGTTGGGGGTTGGGGTGGGGGTTGGGGTGGGGGTTGGCGTGGAGGTTGGGGTGGGGGTTTGGCGTGGGGGTTGGGGGTTGGGGTGGGGGTGGGGTGGGGGTTGGCGTGGGGGTTGGGGTGGGGGTTGGGGTGGGGGTTGGGGTGGGGGTTGGCGTGGGGTTTGGCGTGGGGTTGGCGTGGGGGTTGGCGTGGGGTTTGGGTGGGGGTTGGCGTGGGGTTGGCGTGGGGGTGGCGTGGGGGTTGGCGTATGGGTGGGGGTTGGCGTGGGGGTTGGCGTGGGGGTTGGGGTGGGGGTTGAGTGGGGGTGGGGGTTGGGGTGGGGGTTGGCGTGGGGGTTGGGGTGGGGGTTGACGTGGGGGTGGGGGTTGGGGTGGGGGTTGGGGGGGGGTTGGGGTGGGGGTTGACGTGGGGGGGGGGGTTGGGGTGGGGGTTGGCGGGGGGTTGGGGTGGGGGTTGGCGTGGGGGTTGGGGTGGGGGTTGGCGTGGGGGTTGGGGTGGGGGTTGACGTGGGGTGGGGGGGGTTGGGGTGGGGGTTGGCGTGGGGGTTGGCGTGGGGGTTGGGGTGGGGGTTGGGGTGGGGGTGGGGTGGGGGTTGGTGTGGGGGTTGGGGTGGGGGTTGACGTGGGGGTGGGGGTTGGGGTGGGGGTTGGCGTGGGGGTGGCGTGGGGGTTGGGGTGGGGGTTGGCGTGGGGGTTGGGGTGGGGGTTGGCGTGGGGTTGGGGTGGGGGTTGGGGTGGGGGTTGGGGTGGGGGTTGGCGTGGGGGTTGGGGTGGGGGTTGGGGGTGGGGGTTGGGGTGGGGGTTGGCGTGGGGGTTGGCGTGGGGGTGGCGTGGGGGTTGGGGTGGGGGTTGGGGTGGGGGTTGGCGTGGGGGTTGGCGTGGGGTTGGGGTGGGGGTTGGGGTGGGGGTTGGCGTGGGGGTTGGCGTGGGGTTTGGCGTGGGGTTTGGCGTGGGGTTGCCACCAGGGGGTGCCGCGGTTGTGGCGTAATCATGTCCACAAAAACGTCGCCATTCTTGTATCCGCGCGTTTCTTTTATTTTTATGCCGCCGAGTGATATTGTTGTTGTTGTTGTTGTTTGTAGTGGTGCACCGCTGCCACCGCGGTTTGCAGCATCGACAATAAAAGTAACCGGAAAAGTATACATTAATACATTATTTAGTGATGCTGCTGCTGCTTTGGCAGCGTTGCACGAGGCAGAGTTAACAAAGGAAACAGCCACGAAGTGCCAATTTAAATAAAAGAACTGCTTCGTCCCAGAAGCATTTTGACATTTCAAATCGTAGCGGCTCCGCAAATGGTAGCACGGCGTGCAGTCTCCAAACTGTCATGATCAATGGGACTTTTTTTCAGTTTTTGCCAGTGTCAAAGTATGAGGAATGAAGGATAGCTTTTACCCTTTCTGGCAATGCTCAAACACCAAATTGGAACTCTTTGCAAGGAATCGAGTCTGCATTCAACACACGTACTTGTGGCAAAAACATGCAAAAAAAACGTGATTTGCGTGAGGGCCGAGGAATTCTTGAACCCAGGGTCATAAAAAAGAACACATATCTGATTCTCCTGATGAGTTTCTTTTTACATCAAACGAAAGGTGGAGACCCTCACGAATGGAAACAAGAAACGATTTGAATTTTACCAGGTAAGGCCCCCACTGAGCTATGTACCTTATTTTTTAGAAGCGACCTGGCTACCAAAAATGATAGTCCACACGAAGTGGCTTATCGCGTGGACATGTACAGCGGCAAAATACTCTAAACGCGTGACGTTGATCCTCAATGGGGGGGAAACCGAAGGACCCGGAGAAAAATCCACGCGACCACGGGGAGAGAGAGACACGCAAACTCCAACTATACAGCAGGCGTCAAGGTCGGGGTCGAACCCACGACCTCCTGCATATCAGGCGAGGTAGTTAACATCTCGCCACCGCAGCGCCCCCAATAAGCTTCACTACGCGTCTCTAATGGGAACAAGCAGAGCTTCACTTTGTATCTGGATCTGTTCGGGTGCTGAGCTCCAGAAAATATTCCAACCCTCCCCCCATCCACCCCCAACCTCATCGCTGTTGAGAGGTGGACACCCTGGTCGCGTCTCCTTGTATCGCGTCTGGTCGTGTCGTGTCTCTTCGCGTCTCGCCGTGCCTCATCATGTCTGACCGTGTCACGTGTCTCGCCGTGCCTCATCATGTCTGGCCGTGTCTCGTGTCTCGTCGTGTCCTGACGTGTCACGTCTCGTCATGTCTGCGTCGCGTCGCGCTGCGTCTGACCATGTCCCATCTAACCGTGTCACATCTAACCGTGTCGCATCTGACCGTGTCACGTCTCGTGTCACATCTGACCGTGTCACGTCTCGTGTCACATCTAACCGTGTCGCGTCTAACCGTGTCACATCTGACCGTGTCACGTCTAACCGTGTCCCATCTAACCGTGTCGCGTCTAACCGTGTCACATCTAACCGTGTCACATCTAACCGTGTCCCGTCTAACTGTGTCGCATCTAACCGTGTCACATCTAACCGTGTCACATCTAACCGTGTCACGTCTCGTGTCACATCTAACCGTGTCGCGTCTAACCGTGTCACATCTGACCGTGCCGCGTCTGACCGTGTCCCGTCTAACCGTGCCGCGTCTCGCGCCGCGTACCGCCAGCGGGCTGCTGCTGCTGCTGCCCTCCGTGCGAGAGGTTGGCCAGGGGCAGCACGTAGACGTCGTGCGTGGACGGAGACGAGGGCAGCAGCTCGGAGGCGGGGGGGCTGAAGCCCGCGGCCTCCTCGTCCTCCACGTCCGTGTTCTCAAACTCCTGCGCAAGGTGGACGCGCACGCACACGCACGAAGGCAAAGATCACCCACCCAACCACACCGTGTAGCCTTCGCAGACCGTTGGGGCAAGTGCTATCGATGGGAATCTTTTTTTTCGGCAGTATTAAAATGATAACAAAAATGTTTCTACTAGTATAATGAGCCGAGAATGTCTGTGTGTAACGCGCGTGACGTCACTTCACGTCGACCAGCCCCCCTCATGAATAATCATGAGCGGGTGACGTCACTCCACATGAAGGTGGAGCGGAAACGAAAATTTGTTTACGCAAATTATTTTCTGACCTTTCTTCATGGAAAGTAAAGCTTATAAAGAAATCAACGCAGCAACTAATATAACGATCCAAAGAAGGATGTGTGTGTGTGTCCCGCGCGTGACGTCACTCTACATGCGCCCCCCCCCCTCATTATTATTCACGTGTGCCTGGATTTGTTGACGAACGCAGAAGAATGTCGAGCGGCTATAATATAATTATTTACGCAAATTCGCTTTCGATTTCACGTATCTTTACAGAAAGCGAAGGCGATAAATGATTCGACGCCGAATCACGGTGCGTTTGGTGCCTTCATTGATTTCTTCGGCACGTCCGACAAAATGTAAGTCGACTTTACGCTTCCAAACTATGCTACAATAAACATTCACTATTGAAGAACCTCCTGGTTCCACCAGCTCACAGGAGATTATTGTGTCCGTCCGTCCGTCGTGCATGCAAAAATGGGTGGGGTGGGGCTGGGTGGAGAGGGGAGGGTGGGGTGGGGAGAGAGGGGCTGGGTGGGGAGGGGCTGGGTGGGGAGGGGAGGGTGGGGAGGGGGCTGGGTGGGGAGGGTGGTGGCTGGGTGAGGAAGGGAGGGTGGGGAGGGGCTGGGCTGGGTGGGGAGGGTGGGAGGTGGGATGGGTGGGTCTGGGAGGGGAGGGGCTGGTCACCCCGTGGTGCCCTTATAAAACTCAACGTTTAACCTACTCACGCCGGCTTGTGCCCGCCCTCACAGTCTGACATATTTGCGGAATACACCACGCCGCCGTTGACCCTGGCCATTGACCGAGCAACCAAACCTTCCTACCAGCTCTCTCCGCAGGAATGTGTTCATTGCTACTTTGCACACGTTTTTTTAAATGTAATTGTAACACTTCGTTGAGCTAAAAAAAAAATCTCAGTCGCCTCAACTTTGCCCGATTGAGTCACTCTCAATCCTTTCAGAATTGAAATTATATTTCGTGCGCATTTTATTTCCTCTCTCGCAGTGCAATTCACCTCCTTACGTAGCCTCATTCAGATTTATATTCGATCATTGTTCGAGTCAGACTGCCTTTGTTACATTTACAAATGTACTGCGTATATATATTTAAACTCGCGTGCTTAAATGTACTTCACGTAACCCAGATCTCCGTTGCACACGAGAGGCAATTGCTGTTTGACGCGTCTCAATGGGTCCACGTCGTTGTTGTGCTGCGATAAATGTCCACGCCATAAACTTTCACTTCGTTGAGCTATCATGTGTGGCCAGGTCGCTTCTGAAAAAACAAACTAATAGCTCAGTGGGTCTTACTTGGTAAAAACAACTAAAATTGTTTAGTTTTATTTGTATATTTTTTTTAAATTGATTTATTTACATATTCTTTGGGTCTTTCGGTAAAGCCACGTAGATGGGTTCAAAGAAAATAACAAAAAACTAAAACGACGACGCTTCGATCGCAACACAAGCGGTCGTCTTCAGGAAAAGGGGGGTTAGCTTCTAAAGGCAAACTGTTTGTAAGGGTTTTGAAATGGGCGTAGCCCAAATGTCAGCAGCCAATGACAATACAGTGTCATTGGCTGCTGACAAGTTAATGGGAAATTATCTTGTTAATGGGAGATCACAAAGCCGCAACTGAGGGGTCGGCACGCGAAGTGGCTGTGTTGGTGTGAATCCTGTGAAAGCGCAAGTTTGAAATGGGCGTAGAGCACAACTAACATTGGATTGGTGGTTGGATGGGAACATCACTGCCAGTTATGATTTAAACTGGTCGATAACGTCCTTCCGATGATTGCTCAGTTTGTACCCATCTTCTCGGTTGAAATTGTGTCTGTGTCGAAATATATGGATGGCTTCATGAACGAATCTTTGTTGATAGCCAGTGGGCTTGCAAAGTACCTTCATCGTAGAGAAATCAATTTCGTGTGAGCCCACCCATTAAAACAATGATCAGCCACGGCCGAGGTATTGGTCCTACCGTGTTTCAGATTTGCCTTGTGTTCACGAACACGGTCCGAGACATGTCGCTTAGTTTCCCCAATGTCACTACTGCCGTAGGCACAGCTTAGTTTTGTAGACGCCGGGGTATTGTATGTCAGGGATCACATCCTTCACAGATAGGATCAGATCACGAATTTTATGTATTGTGTTGAATCGAACCTGGATCTTCTGTTTGCTCATGATTTTGGAAATATTTTTAATGACCCCTGCTATGTATGGCAAGGTGATGGTTTTGATTCGGTCCTCAGATGGTTCTTTCCCAACGGTTGGGGTGATAGCTTTACGGACTATGTAGTCTGAATATTCATTCATCTTGAAAGTTTGGTGTATGTGTTCCAGTTCACTGGTGATGACAGTCGGAAATACATCGAGCTCTATGGTTTAGAGCTTTGATGAGGGAATTCTTCTGGGATGAATGGTGGTGGGAGTCAAGTTTTAGATATGCATCCGTATGGTGGCTTTCCTGTAAACAGTGTCCCATTGAGCCATATGGTCTCTTTTCGATTAGAACATCCAAGAAAGGTAGCTTGCCATCCTTTTCCACCTCCATTGTGAATTTGATGGCTGGGTGTGTGGAATTGATGTGGTTGAAGAATTGGTTCAGAGCTGGTCGGCCATGTGGCCAGATGACGAACGTGTCATCTACGTACCTTTCTTTTTCTTTGCACTCCGATCGCGTTTTTCTATTCTTGTTGTAACGTTCTGACTCGCCCCTACAGGACATCTGGGAAAAAGAGCTTTACAGCTCTTCGGATTTCTCCAATATAAATAAATATTCTGATTCCCATTCGAAATAAAGGCAATCCCGCGTGTTATCGGTTGACCCCATGTACTTCCCACTGTGCCCTTGGCACAATTGGCACGAAGACAAAGACCCCCCCTATAGCCTTAACACACTGTTGGAGCAAGTGCTGTTAGCGAACACCTATAAATGCTTAACACGTAGGCTTTCGCAACCAATATTATTCATAATCATCGGGCGAAGTGCCCGATGATGCTGGATGCAATTACCGGCGAAACGTCGTACTCAAAACATTGTAAATGTTGTGGTTTCACGCTTCAACACACCGGTGGGCTAAAACAGTTAACTATTTGTCTTTTTGTCCACGTGGCTGATTGGCCGTGTCGAGTGGTGGAGGGTTACGACACATTTATAAATAACGCGATCTAACCCAAAAACGTTGATTATGAACCTAGGAATGCCTTCACGGCACACGAGGAGATGGGTAGCCAGCACCATGCTGACCGCCTTTGTCTCCACAGTGCCGATGTTTACACACCGCACCAGGTACTCATTTGAGGCTGCGTCGACATAGGGGAGGCCCAGGACCGGTTCAGGTAATCGTCACTGGTGTTGGCCGTGAGCGGGAATCGAACTCGGGTGATGAAGTTCCTAGCGCAACGCGCTAAACTAGGCAGCACCACTCGGGAAAGGTTTAGATTCTGGCCGTGAGCGGGACTTGACCTTGGGTCGCCGGGTTCGTAGCGCAGCGTGCAACATCGCCACACCGCCGTGGCGCCTTCATCCAGCCACGGACTGACCGTGGCTGATGACGACCTGGACCGCTGACACCCCCCTCTCCACCCCATGACTTCGACGTTTTACCCCTCATCCCTGTGACCCCGTCGTGACCCCTGCGTGACCCCTGATGTGGCACGGCATGACCCCAACGTGACCCCTGACATGACCCCTGGCGTGACCCCAACGTGACCCCTGACATGACCCCTGACGTGACCCCTGGCGTGACCCCGACGCGACTCCGACTTGACCCCTTCATAACCCCGGCATCACTTCTGTGTGACCTCAACGTGACCCTGGCGTAACCCCTCACGTGACCCCCTCGACGTGATCCCCCCCAACGTGACCCTGGCATGACCCCTGGCATGACCCCAACGTGACCCCTGACATGACCCCTGGTATGACCCCGACGTGACTCCGACTTGACCCCTTCATAACCCCGGCGTCACTTCTGCGTGATCTCAACGTGACCCTGGCGTAACCCCTCACGTGACCTCCCCCGCCGACGTGACCCCCCCCCGACGTGACCCCGCCGACGGCGCCCCCACCTTGAAGCGCACTCCCGAGCGGGTGGCAGCAGGAGCAGGCGAGCACGAGGACGAGGAAGACGACGATGCCCGAGCAGGAGAGGACGGTGACGAGGAGGGAGGACGAGGAGGGCGACACCGTCGACCCCAGCACTGCCACGTCTGCCCGGCAGGGGTCGTCACGGGGGGGGGGGGGGGGAGGGGTGACGGGGGTCAAGGGTTAACGCGACTTGCAACGTTGGTTCATCGCCCGTGCGCTATCGATAGTTCGACGTTGTAATGTATTTATTACTGATATTTTTGCGCATTTTTTTCCTATTTTGCACTCCGATTTTGTTTTGTGTGCGCGTATTGCTGGCTTGTGTAACTTGCTGACCCGCCCATGTTGGTCATCTGTGATTAAAAAAGAAAACAACTTCACAGCTCATCGGGGATTCCTCCTGCAGTCGAAATAAAGAGTCTGATTCTGAAGTGGTCAGCCGGTTGAGGGGCAGTTTTCAAAACTTTCAGGAAATGTATGTCCAGGATGTTGAACTTCTTTCGCACAACCGTACGTAGCCAACCGCACTAATCGGACGGGTGCCGGTGGGGGGGGGGGGGAGTCAACAAACTAAACACACACAAAGCAGCTTTAAAGAAATGAGTTTGTCAATCTACAGGATTTAAAAGTGCATAGCTACAATGGCTTCCGAATATCGGACGGAAAGAAGCGTTCCAGACGGCCGCTGATAACTAACATGAGGCCATCGATGGACCAATGCACTAGACTCTCCACTCTAGTCTAGTCGTCTCTCCACTCTAGTCTAGCTGCTCTAGACTCTCCACTCTAGTCTAGCTGCACTAGACTCTCCACTCTAGTCTAGCGTCTCTCTCCACTCTAGTCTAGCTGCTCTAGACTCTCCACTCTAGTCTAGCTGCACTAGACTCTCCACTCTAGTCTAGCTGCTCTAGACTCTCCACTCTAGTCTAGCTACTCTAGACTCTCCACTCTAGTCTAGCTGCTCTAGACCCTCCACTCTAGTCTAGCTGCTCTAGACTCTCCACTCTAGTCTAGCTGCTCTAGACCCTCCACTCTAGTCTAGCTACTCTAGACTCTCCACTCTAGTCTAGCTGCTCTAGACTCTCCACTCTAGTCTAGCTGCTCTAGACTCTCCACTCTAGTCTAGCTGCTCTAGACTCTCCACTCTAGTCTAGCTGCTCTAGACCCTCCACTCTAGTCTAGCTGCACTAGACTCTCCACTCTAGTCTAGCGTCTCTCTCCACTCTAGTCTAGCTGCACTAGACTCTCCACTCTAGTCTAGCGTCTCTCTCCACTCTAGTCTAGCTACTCTAGACTCTCCACTAGTCTAGCTGCTCTAGACCCTCCACTCTAGTCTAGCTGCTCTAGACTCTCCACTCTAGTCTAGCTGCTCTAGACCCTCCACTCTAGTCTAGCTACTCTAGACTCTCCACTCTAGTCTAGCTGCTCTAGACTCTCCACTCTAGTCTAGCTGCTCTAGACTCTCCACTCTAGTCTAGCTGCTCTAGACCCTCCACTCTAGTCTAGCTGCTCTAGACTCTCCACTCTAGTCTAGCTGCTCTAGACCCTCCACTCTAGTCTAGCTACTCTAGACTCTCCATTCTAGTCTAGCTGCTCTAGACTCTCCACTCTAGTCTAGCTACTCTAGACTCTCCACTCTAGTCTAGCTGCTCTAGACCCTCCACTCTAGTCTAGCTACTCTAGACTCTCCACTCTAGTCTAGCTGCTCTAGACCCTCCACTCTAGTCTAGCTGCTCTAGACTCTCCACTCTAGTCTAGCTGCTCTAGACCCTCCACTCTAGTCTAGCTACTCTAGACTCTCCACTCTAGTCTAGCTGCTCTAGACTCTCCACTCTAGTCTAGCTGCTCTAGACCTCCACTCTAGTCTAGCTGCACTAGACTCTCCACTCTAGTCTAGCGTCTTCTCCACTCTAGTCTAGCTGCACTAGACTCTCCACTCTAGTCTAGCGTCTCTCTCCACTCTAGTCTAGCTGCTCTAGACCTCCACTCTAGTCTAGCTACTCTAGACTCTCCACTCTAGTCTAGCTGCTCTAGACTCTCCACTCTAGTCTAGCTGCTCTAGACTCTCCACTCTAGTCTAGCTGCTAGACTCTCCACTCTAGTCTAGCTGCTCTAGACTCTCCACTCTAGTCTAGCTGCACTAGACTCTCCACTCTAGTCTAGAGTCTCTCTCCACTCTAGTCTAGCTGCTCTAGACTCTCCACTCTAGTCTAGCTGCACTAGACTCTCCACTCTAGTCTA